TACCAAGGAAATAGAGCAGCCCTACCTGTGAGAACGTGTGTCTAGGGTCCTCTAGAGCTAGCACAGTCTACCATATTCCTCTAGATGCATTGTACAGCAATGGCTTTGTGGGCTGCTATGGTGATGAGATCTCGAATCATCTGGGAGACATGCCTCTGAGGGATCATCTTGATTAGTCAAGATGGTAAGATCAGCCCACTGTGGGTGGCATCATTCTCTGGGCTGGGTTCCTGGATTATATAAAAAGGAAAATGTACAAGTATCCATTGCTCCACTTCTGACTTCAGATGTGACATGAGCAGTTGCCTCAGGTTCCTGCCATTGTGACTTCCCCACCATGGTGGACCCTTGAACTCTGACAATTTCTTCCTTAAGTTGCTTTAGCTGGACATTTTATCATAGAAATTAGAAAAGTAACGAATGTTGCTGCCTTTGGGGCAAAGGTCCTGAGATTGAATCACGTTGTGTGTTCTAACTGCCTTTATAACCTTGGGATGAGTCTTGTAACTTTCTAAGCTTCCTGAGGCATCTCCTCCTCCTCTTCCTCCTCCTCCTCCTCCTCCTCCTCCAGTAGAGAGTGTTTCAATTTGGAAGACATGACTGCAACAATAAGGATATATTAACTACAATTCACATTCCTATGATGAAATCCCTGCCAAAAGCAACCTAAGGAAGGAAGGAAGGTTTATTTTTGATTGACAGTTACAGGGTACAGTTCATCATGGCAGGAGCTAAGGCAGTTGGCATATTGCATCTAAGTCAGTAAGTAGAGGCAGAGAGGAGAGTGGAAGAAGGAAGGGAGAGGGAGGGAGGGGGGAAGGAGAAGCTGATCTTCAGCTCACTCTCTCTTTTTTATTCAGTCTGGGAACCTGGCCATGGGATGCTGCCCCCATTTAGGGTGACTATCCCCAGCTCAACTAACCTAATGTAGAAATTCCTTTACAGACATGCTCAGAGGCATATCTCCTAGGTGACTGTGTATTGGCAGGGGTTTCTGTCCCACCCCAAAGAAATACACCAAGGTCTACATTAATTATAAAACTGATTGGCCCAGTAGCTCAGGCTTCTTATTAGGTCTTATAACTTATATTAGCCCATTATTCTTGTCTATGTTAGCCACATTGCTCGGTACTTTATTTGGCGAGGCAGTCACATCTTACTTCTTCTGTGACTGGGTCATGACTGCAGAATCTGCTTCCTTCTTCCCAGAATTCTCCTGTTTTCATTGACCCACCTCTACTTCCTGTCTGGTTGTCCTTATACTTCCTGTCTGGTTACTGGCCCATCAGCACTTTATTAACATACACTTCACAGGTTACAAACCTTTGCCCCACAGCACTCCCCCCTTTTTTAAGGAACAAGAACTCTGAATCTAATATCCTTTGTTTAGCTTTTCTCCTGACCATTATGCATAACAACTTGTAACCAACATTCTAAACAAAGGAAAATATACATAGTCCATTTTTTGGGAATGTGGGCATAGTTTTCCAGGCTACTTCCTGCTGGTTGGGGGCTCTGATAATCTTATGGGGACCTGACGTAGGTGGGCCTTCTGTCTATGTGTTACTTTCTGGAGTCTTTGAAAGATATGAAGAATGCCTATCTAATTAAAATATATCTCTACATATCTAGAATATCTAACTAACATGACTACAAGCTTGACTATTATCGATGATTATCCATTAACAACCTATATTTCCTAATTATATATTACATTTTTAAATGAACTACACAATCATAATACCTTAATCAAGATCAGAAATACATATAACAAAATTGACCTTAAAATTCATACCAATACAAATTATTCATATCTATATTAGGGACCTAAAGAAAATTTAGAATTATCATCAAGTCATGACTGGAGTATCCTGTGAGGCTTGGTCATCTCAGGCAGCAGTCTTGAATCTGTTCTGGATGTAGAACTCAGACATCTGGGACATCTATTCCTACCAGAGATTTCTTAGATGGTCTTCCTTGATCAAACCTAATTTTTCTTAACTCAGAATGAATCCACAGCCTCTCATTTCCTGTGGAAGCAAAAGCAAATCCTCTTCTCCAAAGTAACATACCTTTGGACTTAACAAAACTTTGGACAGTTTTGAAGTCAAGGTATTTTCAAAATACTTATCTTGGATTTATTCAGCAGCATTTATAAACAAATATCTTTTAGCAGCTGTTGCTCCTTCCTCAGCATTCAAACAATTTAAAGACAACACAATAACATACAGTATCCAGACTCTGTGTATTTTTCATCTTTACGTGGCTTTATTTTAACCCCTATTACTTTTATTTTTAATTTTTGGATTTTTGAGACATGGTTTCTCTGTGTATGTTTGGCTATCCTGGAATTCACTCTGCAGACGAGGTTGTCCTTGAACCCACAGAGATCTTCCTGCCTCTGCTTCCCATGTGCTGGGGTTAAAGGTGTATGCTACCTTTACACACTTACAGAAGTCTGCCCACCTCTGTCTCCCAAGTGTTGGGATAAAAGGTGTGTGCCACCTTACCCAGCTACTCTCTTTTTTTATTTTAAGGACTTTAAACTTTAGCCTGCATACATTTTTAACACACTGTAAACCATTTAGAGGTTTTCTTCATCTTTGACTCTCTCTTTACAGTATATCTCTCTTTTTCTTACCACATGAGTCTTTAATTTGCTAAGCGGTATGGCTAAGGTTAAAGCCCATTTCTTTGCTCTCTGAGATTCCAGTCTCATGGCAGAGGTACCAGCTGTAGCCATGTTTATTGCCACAACTTTATGGTGTTTCAAGGTCCCTGCCAGCAAGCAAGTTGCAGCAGTCTGCTCACAAACCACACTCAGATGCTCCGTAGCCAGACCTCCTGCCTGAAAGAGTCATTAATGCCTACAGAACAATTTGGCAGGCATGTTGCATTGGGTTACCAGAGCCATAGTAGTAACTTCCCTACTGGAGCTTATCAATTACCAAACTGCAGGTTTTTGTCGGATTACTGTACCAAACATGGGTTCTCTCCTGTGGAGTAAGCATGAAGTCCCATATGGAGGTAGTTGGCTGCATCTGTAACTTCTGTGCCACTATTACACCAGAGCAGTGCTGATAAACAGGGTCCAGAACTGAGCAAGAATATTAGTGATGACAGCTCTCTCCCAGTAGCCTGCATAACACCATTAAAAGCTATGACCTCACCAGTAAGGAGAAAACTGAAGGCTCAGATTTAGCTTGATTTGTTTCCTGAAACCAGAACCCATGGCATCTTTGGCATTGGACAGAGCAGTGGCATACCCCTCTGTATCTAAGGTTGGAGCTATCTTACAGAGATATCTCCTGTCACTTCCACCTTATGCTCTTTCTCTTCATTTCCCAGTCCTTCCCTTGAGTTTGAAGCCTTTGAATCCCAGAAGAGGCTTTTCTGCAAAGATCTAATTTCTAATCTTTCCCTTATGCTACCCCAATAAATAAAACAACGACAGCAAAATGCCAAGCCAGCATTTCCCTGTCTTCCCTCTTATCTAGTTTTCCTGCCAAGTCATAGTTATTGTCTGCGCTCTGCAGCTTCTCTGTTTGCTGTGGGCAGTCAGCTTAGCTTTGGTTGCAAGCCCAGTGACCCACAGCAACAGCCATGTAACCGCTTCTGCAGTGTTCCGACAGCTCTGCTACATACTGCCACTGTCAGGGATCGCAACCTATTTTCTAGTCTGCTAGCCTTGTGGGAGGCATCCCTGTGTGCATGTGGTGAACCATATTCATCAAGGAAGAAATACCAGCACATACCACATGGAGCAAAATGGCCTGCTCAGGATTTCTTCCATGGATGTTCCATTCTGAGTCATCTTTGCTGCTTTCTGTAAAAGAAAATATAATAATAATTATTGTATGTAAGCATGTGCACGTATCTGCAGAAGACAGGCAGAGGTGTCAGTTCCCCTGGGGCTGGAGTTACAGGTGACTGTGAGCTGCCTGGTATGAGTACAGAAGCAGTATGTACTTTTAACCTCTGAATCATTTCTAGACCCCTCTACTGTTTTCTTGTCATTATCTGTCTGTTTTTTCCTTTATTGAAAATTTATTTTTTTTCACATCCTATATCTGGTTGCTTTTTCTCATTCGAGTCTTACTTTGTAGCCTTGGCTAGCCTACTACTCTTACATAGTCCAGACTGACCCCAAGTTTGCAACGTTCCTCCATCTCAGTCTCCCAGAAGCTGGGTGTGTAGGTGTGTAGGTGTGTAGGTGTGTGCCACCGTGCCCATCTCCCATCATTTTACTGCCTGTTGTGCAAGCACCAATTAGTGTGTACTTTTCCTAGAGAGGTGTAAAAGACACATTTATTCCTCCCTAGTAATGAAAAGTCCAGCAGACCGAAGAATGGTTTATCAAGTCCAGTTTGGCAAGTGCATAAGCTTACTGACATTCCGTGCATGCACACGGGCAGCCACAGGCAGTATCACCAAGTATCCCACCCCTTAGCTGGGTTCTTACCTTCTGAGCTACCGTTGCTACACAGCAGTGGGTAGAAGGGAGTGGATGTTGGACCGTGCAGCTGCCTCTCTACCACCTTCAGAGTGAGCTGGTGTCATTAGCCCTTTTCATTTTGTTGCTTCAACCCTGGGCCAAGGACTGCTTGCTGTAGATCGCCCTAGCCATTCTGCTTCATGGTGGTGGTGGTGATGTCAAGCCTGACATGGATTAGCTACACTATAGTTCTCAGAGAGGGGGCGTGGAGGATGATGCTCAAGCATGACCTTGAACTTGGAAAGCAGAACTGGGAGGTGATTGGGGTAGTTAAAGACACCACAGGACAAAGGGATCAAGAGACTGACTATTATCACTAAGCAGTGGAGTTTGTGGAGGTGTGTAAGAAGGGTCGGCTGCCACCAAAGGGCAGAAGGCATCTTGAGGTTGGTGGTAGCCTAAAGGTTCCTTGGTCACATGCTGATACAGATGGCCACAGCTGAGGCATCTCAGCTGGAGTTGGGGCATCCTGGAATTGTGAAGTAAGAGAGAGGTGGTCACACAGGGTTGTCCGAGAATCCCCACGGTGGCTGATGGTCAAAGGGAAGGTGGACAAGGTCAAAAAGGTTCTGTGTTATGCAGCTGAGGTGAACAAGATGGACATCCCTTTAAATCTACTGAATGAGGTAAGAAGCCTTGGGCCAGGAGTGAGGCCAGGGCTACAGGCTGTGGGAAGGCCTCTTTCCTCATCCTCTCATGGGATCTTAGTCTACTGCTTCAGAATGATGGCAACACAACTGAGCCATGCCTGCCAAGGCCAGAGAGTGGCCAGCACTGGGGGAGGGGCAGGCCTTGCCTGGTGTTTGTGGGCAGGGAGCAAGCTGGGGTTCCGTCTGCTGTTGGCTGGTCTTGTCTTGTAGCTGCAGGTGTCAGGAAAGAAGGTGAAGAAGGTCTCAATCCTGGACTTCTATACCAATCAGCACCTTTTAAAGGTGGTCTTGGTCATGGCCTGTGTGTGGTGAGTGGCTGGGGCTGGCTTCAAACTCAGGAACGGCATGGAGGTTAGGCAGGCCGAGGGCCAGGCCTGTCTCTGTCGTTCCTACCATACATGTCTTCTCTCTGCCTCCGTTCCATTCCTCCTACACTCAATCCTCTCTCCCCTCCTTCTCCCTCCCCTCCTCTCTTCCTCTTCCCCTTTCTCTTCCCTGCACTTCTTTCTCCTTTCTCTTCTCTTTCTCTCTTGCTGTTCCCCCATCTCTCTATGCTCCTCCTCCTTTCTCTCTCACGTGTTTGGTTGTTCTGTTCCAGGTTTGTCATCAGCTACATCTATTTCACAATGAACCTCAAGTTGAAGGATTGTGGGATAGAGACCTACCTCAGACAAATAATCCCCGGCATTCTGGAGGTGCCAGCCCGGCTGTATTGCATCCTTCTACTGGAGAATTTGGGGAGAAAGTGTAGCCTCTTCGTGAACCTCATCCTGTCTACCATCTCGTGTTTCTTCCTCCTTTTCCTCCCTCAAGGTACAACCTGCCAGGGGCTGCCTCCAGTCCGCTCTCTTCCGGGGCTTCCTGGTGTCTCTTATCTCGGCTGGCTAGCAAAGCACATGGGAGGTGGCTTCCTGCGTGTATCATTTGCCCCCACCAAGGAAGCCCCAGCCCCCAAGACAGCGCGTTTCTGCATTCAGAGTCCTGAGAGAGGAACTCAGGCTATCCCCAACATAGTTATCCTGTATTGAGGGCAGGCAGCCCCTGGGACTCCATTCCAGTCCACACTGGAAGCAGATCTAGTGGGTAAATGAGAGCAGATGGTGGCAGAGTCTTCTTTGAACTCACACCCCAGGCCTCGCCTCTCATTTGCAGCCTTTGATCGGCAAGCATTCCCGGTTACCTATGCTGTCTAGGATAATCTACTCATGGAACATCAGTATGGTGGCATACTGGACCCGTGCCAATATTCTTGCTCAGAGGGCTTTCCCAGGGGTTCATTGTCTGGCTTCTGGTGTCTAGTATTATTGCCACCATCTCAAAGATCCCTGGGCAGTGAACCTGGATCAGTCTGTGGGGCCAGAGTGCACAGAGCTGTGGTGCCCCACCAATGGTCAGTGCCTAGTGGGGGGCTGCAATGCATGCTTCCCTAAGGAGCCCCTTTCTTTCTCTCACAGAACCTCTCGGCATCCTCCTGACGTTATCAGATATTGATTAGGTTTCTATAACCTGGTGTTTATTGGTATTGACATTATTGCTGCTGTTACCCAGAGCACTGAATCCAGCTGGCAGATTGACAGATCTCATATGTGGGCGAGAAACTAGGCACAGGATTCTGGAGATAGAAGTCTGAGGGCTGGAGGCGTGGCTCAGTTGGTGAAACACTTGCTGCAGAGACATAAAGAGTTGACTTTGGTTACCCTGCACTCAGGACAGCACGTGCCATAGTCCGGCTCTTGGGGAGAAAGAGACAGGAGAGTCTCGAGTTTGCTGCCCAGCTAATCTCACTGTTCCAGCAAGTTCCGGGTTCAGTGAGAAACTCTACCTCCCCAAAATAGGGTTTGGCCTGCCCCAAGCCCTGTTCAACTCTCCCACGGTAGTAACTTCAAGGACTGACTGGGCTTATGCAGATCAACTCTCTGGTTGAATGTCTGAGTCTGCTGGTTAGGTAACTAAGTGGTAGGGGTGGGTCATTCAGTTGTCTTTGGTAAGAGACCGAGAGAAGGCTGGAAGACCCAAAGGTAGGGTGGCCCAAGACTCAGGGCCGTGCTGTCTTCACTCAGAGCTGAAGTCGACGAAACTCTTGATGCTTGTGCTTGGACATTTTAACATGGCGGCCAGCGTCACTGTACTCTTCATCTACACCTGTGAGCTCCTCCCCACTGTCCTCAGGTATGGAGTGTGGTGGGCTGAGGGGAGGGAGGGGGATGGGACAGGGCCAAGACTGAACGTTTGCCAGAAAACAATCGCTGTGTTAAACACAGTTTGCATAGATTGGCTCACCTAGCTCTTGTCAGAAAACAAAACCCAAATGCTGTCCATCATTGACCTTCTTCCAGTTGACAAAGCCAAAGACAGGAAAGGCCCCTGTTGTCAGTCATGCACAGCGGGTAGCAGAGCTGGCGTTTGTAAGGGATGATGTCTTAGTTTCTTTTTATGTTACTGTGATCCAATAACCATGGCAAAAGTAACTTACCGAAAGGGGAGTGTATCCTGGCTCTCGGTTCAAGGAAACAGATCATTTATGGTGGGGCAGGCAAGGCAGAAGGGGCTCGAAGCACCTGACTCCATGACAGCACAGTCAGGAAGCAGTGATACATGCATGCATGCCCTGCCACTGCTTGCTCCCTTTCCCCACTTGCATAGTCCAGGATTCCTGTGGAGGGAATGGTGCCACCCACAGTAGGGAAGGCTTCCCAGCCCAGGTAACCTACAATCATGCTCAGAGGTCAGTCTCCCAGGTGATTCTAGATTCTGTCTGACTCTAGACCCTGTCTGGCACCTGGTCCTCAGTTCTTTCTATTGCTGTGGTAGATACTGAGACCAAAAGCAGCTGGGGAAGGAAGGTTTTGCTTCACTTCACAGCACACCTTCATGGGGAATTCAGGAGAGGAACCTGGGGACAGGAACTGAATCTGAAGCCGTGGTGGGATGTGGCTTACATGCTCGTTCCTCGTGGATTCTTTAGTTTGCTTTCTTATACACCCCAGGACCACCATTCCCAGGGATGACACAACCCACAGTGAGCTGGTCAAGGAAATGCCCCCAGACTTGCCCATAGGCCAATCTGACAGGGACATTTTCTCAACTGAGGCTCTCTCTTCCCAAATGACTCTAACTGTGCCAAGTTGACAAAGCTAACCAGCACAAACCAGATGCCTGTAATGTGTTTGGGTTACCCCAAAGTTCTGCCTCTTCTCCCATAGAATTCCTGGTGATAGAAGTCCCATCTTTCTGACCCCTGGGCTGTATCCTTTCCTCACGTGATCATACACCATTACAATGTATACACGATTAATAACTCTTTGACTCTGGATATCCAAGAAGGCAGCTCAGGAGAAATAACTACCTCTCTTAAGTCAATGAAGAACTAGGTTCTTCAAGGTCACACACTGGGATGGAACGGGGTAAAGAGCAGAGGGTATGACTTTAGGTAGCTTCTCCCTTCACTGTACCCAGCCTCTGAGACTAAGAAGTCTTCTAAACCAGTTCCCAACTCTGCTTTCAGGTCTACAGGTCTGGGAATGGTATCTCTGGCTTCGTCAGCGGGAGCCATCACCGCTCTGGCCGTCTACAACCATATCAAAACCCAGCTGCCTATCTTCTTCTGCTGTCTGAGTTGCATTGTGGCCTTGTGCTTCTCCTCCTTGGTGCCAGAAACAGGAAACCAGCCTTTCCGTGACAGCATAGAGTACAGTTCAAGGTAGATGAATAGGGCCTGCTTGTCACGAGTCCTGGAAATTGAGAGTACGCCAGATATTGTCCATCCCAGTGACAGATCACCCTGTTCAAAGCCATCTCCCCAAGTCTTCTGGATATGATCACTTAGGTTCTGCCAGCTCTCTCTCTCTATTTGGCTTTCCTTGCCCACAGAGCCTCTTTTTGCCCTGCCCCATATGCCTGTCTAGACTGGGGTATTATCCTTGGAGATGAGGGAACTAAGGTGACAGAAATTCATTCCGTGTTAGGACCTTTTCCCCTGAAGGGTGTTTGAGAAGATTAAACCCACACATCAAAGATCCAGCATGTGACAGGCGTTCAGTGAAAGCTGGTGACAGAGACGCCGAGACAAGCTCCAAAATTCCGGGAAAGAAAGGGATCTAGTAGGGGGTCAGGAGATGGGGTCAGCCTGATCTTGAAGATCCAAGCCCAAGCTTAGTTGGGGACCTAGGTGAATGAGAAAGCCCCATCTCTCCCAGAAGAGGTTAGGATTGAAAATGTCTCATGGTTTTTCTCAGCAACCAAAGAGAGTCTATTGACTCCAAGAGGAAAAGCCAGGACGTCGCTCCCGAGATGCTAACTGAGGAGTCAATGTCTGACATCAGGATTGACCAAGTGGCCAAGAATACCATTCTCAATGCCATGCCGCTAACATTCGCAGTTGACCAAGTGGCAAAGGATACCATTTTCAATGAGATGCCACTAAAATCCGAAGAAAGTGGGTTCTCCGACACAGACTTGAAGGAACCCAGTAACGCCGGGGAAGAACCCAGTCCAGATCCCTGAGGGCTAGCTTCCCCAGAACATTGTGGAGTGGAGTTTACTGCCTGGGTTGAGGGACATGGATTCAAAGTCTCAAATTCTAGGCCTAGTCTGGCTTGTGGGCAGAATCTGTCCTTCTCAAAGGCCAGCCCTCAGGATCTAAAAGTAACCCCTTGTGTAGGAGGAGCTAAGTTGTGATTCATCCAATAAAATATCATGTTGGTCTTGAGAGGGTTAGGTCAAAGTTGTCACGACAACCCAGAGGATGCGGTGGCGATTAGACAGGCAACCAAGGCCTTTCAGGATCTTTGGCTAAATCCTCAGGGACAGCAAATAATTCTCTGGATGGAGCGGGTGTGGGGTGGGCAATCTCTCTGCGGTCCAGAGCGAGAACAAGGGTATCAATCATAACCTCTAGCCCAGCCATCAGCTCAAGGCCAGGCCGAGGACAGAACCGATCAAGGTATGGATGGAATGTGAGGGATTAACAAGAACATCCTTCATCGCTTCGGCCAGTCTCGCTTCTTCCCCCTTGGTATTCCAAATAAGTATGGCGTTAAAGATTGCCCACCTCGGGCTTTATCCTGAGAGATATCCTCTTGAAGGCTCCAGGGAAGCTGACCTCTGACCTCCACCACTCCAAGAAAAAGTCCTTAAGACATTTTGTGTTAATTGTCAACTTGACACAATCTAGAATCATCTGGGGATCATGCCTGCAGGAGAGGGTCTCCATCAGGTGAGTTGCCGTGGGAACTCTGCCTGCTGTATGTGGTACCCATTCCTAGAGTTGGGTCCTGAATAGCATGAAAACAAGGTTAGTGGAGAAGCAGCCAGTGTGTATTTATCCCTTTCTGCTTTTTGGCTGTGGCTGTAATATCTGTCTCAAGGTCACCCCTGATAAACTGTGACCTCAAACTATGAAACTCTGAGATGAAATAAACCCTGTGTCCCTTAAGTTGCTTCTGTCATGGCATTTTATTCCAGCAAAGGAAAAGTGACCCTCCTAGTCAGTCAGCTCGACAGAGCCTAGAGGTGTCTGAGAGGAGGTGGAATTATTATAACAGCCAAGAGGGTACAGATGTCTCCAAGGAAACCATGTCTTTCAGACACAATAGGACAGATGCTCACGTGAGCTCAGACTGTGGAGCAAGCCTGAGACTTGCATAGGTTAAGCCAGATGGTGGCAGAAGGGGAATGACACAAGCTTCCTCCCCTAACCAATAAGCTCCCCAAGGAAGAAACTATCTGCAGTAGAGTACCTGCTGGCAAAGGGGACATGGGTTTTCTCTAATGGACTCTCACGGGGTTCTGGGTCTATCATCAACTTCACTTCAGGAGAGGTCCCATGCCCAGGAACAGCTGGCCAGCGCACAATGAACTGGGTAGAAGTTTTGTGGGCTTTTTGTTTCAGTTTTCTGTGTTTTCACATTTTCCTTTTTCTTTTTTGGTCTTTTGCTTGCTGTTATTTTTGTTTTCGTAGGTTTCTTTTTATTATTTTTTATTTATTTATTTATTATGTATACAACGTTCTGCCTCCATCTATGCCCGCATGCCAGAGGAGGGCGCCAGATCTCATTACAGACGGTTGTGAGCCACCATGTGGTTGCTGAGAATTGAACTCAGACTCAGGACCTCTGGAAGAGCAGCCAGTGCTCTTAACCACTGAGCTATCTCTCCAGTCCCTTTTTTTTTTTTTAATGTGTATGTGTTTCTTGCTTTTAATTCTTGGGATTTTTTTTTGCTTTGTTTTTTGAAAGAGAAAAAGAGCATAAAACAGGACAGGTAATGAAGTGGGAAGGATCTGCGAGGAATTGAGGAGCAAAACATGATCAAATTATGTCATATAAAATTTTTTTCCAATTAAAAAATTTCATTAAAAATGTTCAGAGGTTGCCAGAGGGTGGTGGCACAGGCACTTGGGAGGCAGAGGCAGGTGAATCTTTGTGAGTTCAAGGCCAGCCTGATCTACAGAGTGAATTCCTGCACAGGCCTCAAAGCTACAGAGAAACCCTGTCTTGGTAAAACCATATATATGTTCAGAGGTGACTTTTAGACCCCATATCCAGAAATGTCACTATAGTGACTTAAACAATAGGGAAGGTAATAGGCACAGCCCCAAAAAGAGCAAATTGTTTGAATATTCTTTAGGGGTTGTGTCTTGTATAATGGAGTATGATCCCTCATGTATTTATTTATTTATTTTTGTTTTTTTGAAACAGTGTTTCTCTGGCTGTCCTGAAGCTCCCTCTTTTATTTTTTGTGATAACCTTTTTTTTAAAAAAAAAACTCTGATATTGCTTTATATTATTTAAAATTTCAAATTTGAAAAGTGACATAACATGCCTGTAATCCCAGCACTTGGGAAGTGGGCACAGGAAAATATGAGTTCAAGACCTAGTGTGAACTACAGAGCAAGTTCAGGGCCAGCCTAAGCTATAGAATGAATCAGACGCTGCCTTTAAGATTAAAAAAATTACATAATATAACAAATAAATTAAAAAGTAAGATAAAATATAATCAACTATAAAATTAAAATACAAAGTTTGAAAGGGATAGGGCTCATTGAGAGCTCCTTGAGTCACCGAGCATTTTGCCCCCCCCCACCCCAAAGGATTTCGTGTTTCTGGGCAACTCTAGTTACCTATCCAGAGACAGTTGCTGTAAAGGACGCAGGCGCGGCCACACCCAGCACGCTTTTGCCGCTCATTTCAAGGTTCAAGCTTTTGAGACTTGGACATAGACGATAGAGGGGGAGGGACCGGAACAGGGAGCCGGGCACTCTTAGGAAGCTCCAGCGAGAGTGGGAGGTGTAGCAAGCTGTGAGGTGGCAGGTGGTCCCTCGGGGTGAGTGGGGATGCCCGGTGCTATTTGGTAGGCCCGGCAAAGCAGCTTGCCAGGTTTCAGGGCAGCTGAGTAATGGCTCTCCCAAACATAAAGGACACAACAACCTCCAGGGCCCAGGGCCCACTGCCTGGTACCGTGTTGATCCTGCCAACTGGCGGGTGCCATTAAGTCTTCCAGCGGCCCTCAGTGCAGGCCACACAACCAGTAAGCCAGCTCCGGTTCTCGGCACCCCCACAGGCAGGACATAAAAATTCCTTTAATGCAAGAACAAAGCTGACCATAAAGACCCGGCTAGAGTCGGCAAGGGAGGGGGGGCGGCTGACAGGAAGGGAGGGCAAGTGGCCAGGATAGAGGACCCGAACTGAATGCTTTCTGGTTTGAGAGCCCTCGGACACTAACAGCACCATGAAAAGCCTCACGGTGTCAGCGGTGGCTAAGACCTCGTGAAATCCTCTCAAACATCCACTGCCCCAAGTCACCTGGGCCCTTTTATAGATGAGCACACTGAGTTCCCGGAAAGTGAGGAAGCTGCAGATTCTCAGCTTAGACTCCAGATTGGCAGTCTGGACCCAGACTCTCCAGCTAGATGGTGAGCGTGTTGTGTCCTCAAGGTCTAGGCCTTTCAAATCTAGGTGCACAGACCATAGCCTTTGAGTAACTCACAGTTCCGGCCCCTCTGCCTCCTCAGGTCACCACACCTGCTGTTCTCCAGTAAGACGGGAACACAGTAGACAGCCAAGGGCAGGCTGGCTGTGGCTCTTGGCTACCCCAGTCCCTGCATGTGGACTTTGGCTATCTTCCAACTGGACCACAGGTGAGACGACCCACCCGAGAGCAGCCAGGATCTGGTCATAAGCTAATAACACCTCCTGACAAGAAACACGGAGCATCTAAGACACAGTAGGGGCCCAGGAGAACCTGAGCCGCTAGCTCCAGAGCCTCAGCTCTCCTCCAGCTCGAGGGGCCCCTGACTTGGGCAAAAACACCCGGCCCTTCTTCAAGGCACTGCCAAATTCAGAGCCCTGGGGACTTGTTCAAACTTTAAAATTCTTTTCACCTCTAGAAATGGACATCTTACCATGGCTGTAGTGTGCAGTCAAATTAGCAGTCCCACCTCCACTCCCCCCCCCCCCGCACATGCCAAGCTCTGCGGGAATCAGCCAGATGGTGAGCCCAATGAATACCTGATGGGCCCCTAATTCTCTTACGTATTGCCATCACCTTCTACAGAACCACATCTTCATCCAGCAGCTACTGAGCAAAGATCCACCTGTGGGGCTGGGGTGTTCACCATACTTTGCCTCTGTAGCTGCCCGTCCAGCAGACAAGGAACCTGAAAACACTGGGGCCGGATGGCAGAGCATCACCATGGTCCTCTCAGCGGGAGAAACGTTGCTCATTGGAAGCCCGAGATCTTAGGGAAGCCATGCACTAAGGGTAAAGAAGCAGTTTGGGCAGAGTGTAGCTAGGGCCAGGTGCTCTCTGTGAAGACAAATGGGCAGTGAGGAGAGAGGAAGATGAAGATGCAGGCGGATGGAGGAAAAGCCAGGGTGAAAATGTGGAGTGGAAACTGCAGAGTTAGTCAGCAGAGAGATGGGGAGACCGCTCCCATCTCCAGAGCTTCCACTTCCTGTCCTGACACCAGCCAGCACTGCTGTTAATCCTGGTCCATGGGGCAGCAAGGAGGTGGGGTGGGGATGGAGGTGGAGGTGGTTGAATTACTGCTTCTTCATCTTGGGAGGATCAAGATGCCCAGGTCCTCTTGGACTCCCCTTCCCCCACTCATTGTTCTGTCCCAACGATCTGAAAAATCAAACAGGCTGGGAGTTCAGGGTTGTGTAACAAGGCAAGGGAAGCGCTATTCAGTGTGGTTATTTACCCGATGTGCGAGGCCAGAGTTCATACTTTCACAAGAGAAGCAGCAGGCTCACCTTGGTTGAAAAAACAGACTACAGAGGGCCTTTGCTCTAGTTTTGAAGCCCTGGGTGCTTGGCTGTGGGCCTGGAAACACCCCGTCTAAGTAGGAGAAAGGTTGGACCACAAGAACAGATTCCTGCTTGGGTCACAGTGGACACCCCAACAGCTGGAACCCTGAACTGCCTCAGAAGTGGGGCTCTCCACGCAATGACGGCCCTGGTCCAAGGCCAGATCATGTCCCTCACGGACAGAAAAGACCTACCTTACAGCTGTGTGACCCGGAGAGGACACATTCTAGATGTTTCCTTAGGACACGTCCTCTGGAAGGCAGACTGGGTTGAGACTGTGGAGGTGGAGGATGGGGCGCCAGGCGCACACCAGCTGTGAGTGTCATCTCCGTCTCTCCTGCTGAGACACTCTGCCCCTGTTAGTCAGTGCAGACTGGTCAAGTGAGCTGCCCTTCCAGGT